GATTTCGCCGGATTCGGAGCCGGTCGGGGGGACACTTGGTGGTGGTGGTGGTGGTGGTGGTGGTGGAGGAGGAGAGGAGAGGAGTGGAGGTGGTGGGGAGGGGGGGAGAGAAACAATACTACTCCGGTCCAAACTGTGCTCACAGGTCTCTCAATCAGCGAGCAAAAAAAAAAAAGAAAAAAAGAAAAAACCTCAGCGATGCTCGCGGTGCTGCTCGCTCACATTTTACACACTGACTGTGAGCCCGGAACAACTGTGGCAGCCGACGTGCGCATTTGGCTTTTAGGTCAGTTATTTGAGTCAAGAGGAAAAACGCGTTTCCTTATTGCATTTTTAACACGCTCCCAACAAGAGATCCGTCTCTTAAATACGGGTTTTTGTTTGAAGTTGCCGGAAAAAGGTGTTTTTTTTTTTTTTTTTTTTGGCGTGCGCTGTGTGTGAAATACATCGTTATATCAGCGGCTCATCCAGCGCGTACACTCAGACAGATGTCTAGCCTACATTTTTTTTTTTTTTTTTTGTGAATTAATATCAATACGGCGTGGCATTTATGAGATGGGGTTACATTAAGATGTGCTCAGCAGGCGCAGGGAGGCTGGCTAATATTGTGTCTGAAGGTAAAACAATACTGCAGGTTCAGTTTCTGAGATAAATAAGATCCAGTGGGACTCTGCTCTGGATTTTTTTATTTTTTTTGGTGCCATGTTACTCCTAAATGAATGATCACTTTAACTGTCGCGATCCGCGTTTTCTTTAATTTATTTGGCTTGAAAAAATCAAACGACATCCCTACAATGTGTTAAAAAATGTTTTAGGATGTGAGGCTGTTTTTTTGGCAAAGGATGGCCTAGATATGAGGCCATGCTCTGGTGTAATTAAAGTTGCAAGAGGCGCTTTCTGTGGTGCCCTTTGAGACATTTTTGTTGCAAAATATTCATGGGCAACTCGTGATTCCTTTTTTCGCTGTTGTTTATTAGATGGCAGCAGCATAGAGGTGCTGCGCGTCTTGGATAAAGTTAAAATATGTGGATGTGTTTGCGCGATGTAGAGAAAAAAAAGAGAGGGGGGAAAAAATCCCAAAAAAAAATCCACTGGAAGGGCCTTGGGGGAGTTTTTATCCCGAGCAACATGTCAGTCTGGTTCTGTAGGGATCCATCTATCAGTGCGCGATCGTCTATCTGTGTGTGTGTGTGTGTGTGGAGAGAGGGGACAGAGAGTGTGTGCGTGTGGCAAGCAGATGTTGTCCCAAAGCGCTTGGCTTTGTCTGATAAAGACAGTAATACTGCGTGTTCTTTTGTCTATTATAAGCGCCACTGATAGTTTCCACAATACAGCACGTTCTGTGCCTGATTAATAGGCACAGACTCGCCTGTAGCCCAGAAGTTGTGCGCAGGTAGAAAGCTGTGCGTCAACACATTAGTCATGTCAGAGGTTTGGTCCTGGTGTGGCCGCTGGAGCCGTGAATAGCCGCAAACAAGGAGGCCGGTCCCGGGTTTGACACAGAGGAGGAGAGGGACGCTGCGTCCATCTCCTTGCAGCGCAGACACGGTTTAGTGGATCTGCACCTGTGTGTGTGTGTGTGTGTGCCTCTGTGTGTGTGTGTGTAGGGTTTTTTCCACGTAATTGTGCGTTCATCCCATTTTTCACTTTTTTTTGTTGTTGTGATCACTTCCTCTCCCCGCCTTCATTCAGAATATGCCTCCACAACGTAAACGGGTTGCAGTCCTATAGGCTCGGTTATGTAATTGGTGGCTGCACCGGATCATTTGTTTTCTGAATGGACACGTTTTGGAGAAACGCAGAGCCCGTGTGCGTGCAGCACAAATTTCACCTTGATGTGGAGATTTCAGCCAGGCATAATTGCAGATCTGTCCTCTGAATTAGAGCAGATTGATTTGACAGGTTGCATGTGGGTGAGCAAGTAGAGAGAAAGTCAAAATTATATTGTCACACTGTGTGTGCTGGATTGAATCTCTCCCCCCCTCCTCCTCCTCCCTTCTTCCCTCCCTCCCTTCATCTGAAAAGAAACTCCACATTATATATATAAAAAAACTTAACACCTGCATTTTTTTTGTACATTTTATTGTTTGATTTATTGGAGGGTACTTGTCTTGTCAGTAAGTGAGCTCTCACCACGGCTTGATGTCAGAAACTGTCGTTTTATCAGCACAGAGGTGTACAGTAGCTGCTGGGAGACAGTCAGCCATTATGTGCCTTGGGAGTGTTTGTAGTCCGAGTATCAGGTGCCCAGTTTCATCTCAGCTAAGTCGTTAATGAGTATTTGTATGTATATATTCCACACATATACATTAATATTCACAGTGTTGGAGCCATCGCCATTTGCCCGCTTTCTGTGTCCCGGCTAAAACCCACCCATGACTAATGAATATTTAAGAGTATGTCTGCAGATCAGGGGAAGCCATTATTATATGAAGGAGACCCAGCAGATGAACTGTAGACCTGCTCACATGAAGGCAAAAGGAGGGTGAGGGAGGGAGAGAGGGGGAGGGGGGGGGAGTTAATCCACACCCGGCAATCAATCCCAATTTTCTTTTGGCTTCACCATCCTTCACTCGTCCTCTGTAGCCTGTCACCCTCACTTCACATTCAGCAATTTGTGATTGACCGACAAACTGGCATAATGTGTCCACAGCATTCAGTTTTGAAATGTTTTTTTGACTGATTTAGTCACGCTTTCGCACATTTCTCCCACCTGATTATTTGGGTTTACTCAAGTGAAAATGTGTAAGGGTACCATGCTGTACTAATGTAATGAGTGCTTCTTTGGAGGAGACGTATAACAAAAAAAAACAACAAAAAACAATCATCTTGTACTGTACATGCACACAGATGGCAGGACAGTGGTCCAAATAATTTTTAAGTGCAGTAAAAGGCACTGCTGCCCAAACAGACAAGACAGAGACTTCTCTGAAGCCTCCGCAATGCTACATTTCTGGTTGTTGGTATTCCCACGCCATCCAGCCATCTTCACCAGGCTGTTACCAGGTAATCCTGGTGGCCCATAACTTACAAAATTCAATTTATTAATATATGTTTGTGGTGTTTTTTCCAATGCAACTATCTTTAACAGATTTTTTTTTACACTACGTAGTGGAAAGGACTTTGGACGAGGCAGAGAGGATGTAATATTGGTCACGAGTGGAATTCACCTCAGTCCACTGAATCACACAGGGCTGCTCGTTGTGCCATGTGTAAATTTTTATTCAATTTTACTATCATTTAAATTCAGGAAGTCCACATTTTGGTTGCAAATGTAGGCATGCACTGACAGTATATAAATAAAATAATTAATCAAATTAAATTCTTCCTCGCAGCACTGGTGAGCCTTTACAGATGAAGTGAAATGAATATTGTAATTTGAAATTTCAAGTCGGGGGTATTTTACCATCTTATGACAAAAGACTTGCACTTGAGTCCGTTCTGGCACTTTGTCTAGCCCAGTTGAACATATTTGGCAGCCATTTTGGGAATGCAGTAGAGATCCATCGATATAACAAGGCACTTTGTGGATTGCATCCAGAATGTCACAGTGCTTGTTAACTGCTTGGCCTTTTTGTCTCAGACGGAGTTTATACTTTCCCAGCTTTTTTTTTTTTTTTTCTTTTCTTTTTTTTTTTTTCCTTTTATTATTTCTGTATAATGCTCATTAGAAGAATATTCCCCCCATGGAGTAAAGCTCATCTTTGATGTGATTGCCAAATGAGACTGTTTTCAGGTGCGCATCTTAAAGATATTAAGTCTTATAATTAACTACAGGATAGCCTATAAGCCTTTAATAGACTTGAAGCGTAAAGATTTGGTCTTGTTTTAAGAAGAACACATAAAGTTTCTCGCCTGATGTTTATTGCGACGACTCCTGTTTTACAGCAGTTACAGCTTCGATACTACGTTTGAGTCCCCAGTTACCATGGCAACCTAAAAAAAAAAAAACCCACCTCAGGTACCTCTGAGGCATCAGGGAAGACATTATTTTGTCTTAAACAAAACATATTTCTTTATTTTTTTCCCCCTATATCTCTTCATCATAGTAAAATATAATGACATTAGTGACTCCCAGCCAGTTCTGCCTTGGTGGATTGTTGGAATACATTTTGCAAACTAGAAATTATTGGCAGGCTGGCTACCTCCTGGCTAACTGGCATGGATCCTTCTACCCACAAATCACCTTTTTCACACATAACATGCTTCTCTTCATATTATATAATTTTTTTTTTTCATTCCTGTAAATACTAATAACACAATCACAAAACCTATTGACAATCTGTATAGGATGTCTTTGTAATTAGGGAGAGAATTTCCCCCTTCAGCTGCATTATGCAACATAAAAACGCTATTACAATGAGTTATGGTGATTTCCTCGCAGCTATAAGGCAAGAATAGAGCATAATATCCTTTGTTTAAGGGGAGGGGAAATGTATCTTGTTTATTGATGAGTTGGCCAAGCCAGGATTAAAAAACATTTTGTAATAAAAACTGAAGGTTATGATTTTGCAACCA